CCGCACTCCCCGCCACAGGCTCGGCCCGGTGCACCTGCCTCGCCCTTGTACGCACAGGCTTGTGCTAAGGGATCTCTGGTGGAGGTGAGCTGCAGAGGAGGCAAAACAAAACAAACAAAAAAAGGAAAAGAGAGCCCGGCTGGCGTGGCTCAGTGGCTGAGCGTCAGCCTCTGAACCAGGAGGCCACAGTTCATTCCCCATCAAGCCACATGCTCTGGTTTGGGGCTCAGTCCCCAGTGTGCGGTGGGCAGGAGGCTGCTGATCAATGATTCTCTCTTCTTATTGATTTTCCTCTCTCCCTTTCCCTTCCTCTCTGAAATCAATAACAAAATATATTTAAAAAAAGAAAAAGAAAGAGAAGAAAGCCTTTTCCCTCCTAGGATCGTGCCGCGGGATAAGTGACATTTGCTGGCCATGGGGGAGGGGTCACAGATTAGCACTCGCTTTCCTTGCCTTTCCACCCTGTTCCCTGTCTGACCTCCTTTGAGTTGGTGGTGTCGCCCCCCAAAGAGGTGTCGTCTCGCTGTGCCTGCCCCCCCTTCCCACCAGCCTTCTCCCTCTCCCGGCCATGCAGCCCCACGTGGCCCCGCAGCCTCTGCCCTGGGCCCTGGGCCTCCCAGCACAAGCAGCCCCTTCAGGGGGCCTGGGGCGCCCTCCTCACGCCACTGTCCCCACCTCTGTCACGGCCCCTCGCACCAGGTCGCTGTGAACTGTTTTGCCTTGTAAAACCAAACAGTTCCCGGAGAATTGCATCAGCTTTGATATCTTAGGGCCGCGTCTGGTGCATAGTAAACATTTACTTACAGCCCTCTGTCCCTTTACCCTCCTCCTTTCTTTGGGTTCTTGTTCAGTGTTGGCGTGACGCGATGAATAGCATTAGACGTCTGTTCAGTAAGCGCCGAGGAAGGAGTGAGGACAGAAAGTGGGAGAAGCCCGGCCTCACACCCCTTGTTTCGGTGAGTCGCCACCGGAGGCGCTGGTTCCCCGCTCCCTGCCTCTCTGTTCCCTGTTGGGGGCCCTCTGGGCACCGCGGGAATAGCGGGGTGAACAGGCCACTTTCCTGCCTGTGGTCTCTTCTCGCCTCCCTCTCCCTCCTGTTCCCTCCTTCCAGGCAGCAGACTCAGACACCGCACCCCCAGACCCGGCATCCTCCTGGGCACCTTGCTAGGTGGAGGGGGTCCTGCTTGGGCCTGGGTGCCAAGGGGCGAGGTCATGGGGCTTGTCAGGCCTCCACACACAAAAGCCCGCCCCCGCCCTCCGCGTTGGGACGTCCCTGGTGGCTGCGCACCGAGTCGGGCTGGATGGGATTTTGCTGCCAGGTGGGTGCCTGGGAGGCCGAGCCCAGCCAGCAGCAGGTGCCAGGCCTCGGCCCTGCTCTGTAGGCCTCGGGGCAGAGTATCGCCCTGCCCCTTTCTCCTTTTCCCAGTTAGGGACCAGAGAAGTGCTTGCTGCCCCGGGCCCACTGGCTGCTCGGACTCGGGAAGGCAGGCCTGGCAGCTTGGCAGCCGCAGGGGCCACTATTGCTCACAAGACAGGCATTTGCCTGCCGGGGTTTGAGATGTTGTCAGAGGGCCAGGCGGGCGGGGCTCTCCGACCTGCCATGTCAGCATCTCGGGCTCCCCTCCTGACTCCGTGTCAGGGCGATGCAGCGGGAGGCAGAGGTGCCTGTGAGACTTAAATACCCAAGGCTTGGCTTGTCGCCCTTTGGAATACTTTCCCTTCTTCTTCCTGGTCTTGCTTTCCTCCCTGAATTAGGGGTCATTAGCCTGTGTTCCCTTTACTCACTGGAGTGGTTATGTAAGGCAGTGACTCTCAGCCGGTGGCCGCAAGGATTTCTAAAACATGCACCGCCTGACCTTACTTCAGGGCCTGACTTTTCTTCCCTGAGATTGTGAAATAAAGACAACAGCCAGCCGGTGTGAATGAGTCAAAATTACACCTATTTTTTGTCAGACCAGCAAAATGTACGCGTTTCTTGGTGTGCCCCCCGCAGGAGGGCAGCGATGAGCTTACGTGCTGTGAGGGAAGAGGGCTGACATCGCTGACTTCATGGGAGAGTTTGCAAAGGGCTTTGACCTCAGAGGAAAGTGACCATCGGGGTTGCTCACCCATTTACAGGCGAGGAAAACGAGCCCCGCGGAAAGAGCGTGTGGGCGCCTGTGGGTGTGGGGTCCTGGGCACCCCCCATGCCAGGAGGGCCTTGAGGGTGGGTGAGAGGAGGCAGCGGGGGTGGCGCCTGGCGGCAGGAGCAGCGGCCACAGGCAGGGCACCTAGGCCGGCGTCCCCTCCTTTGTCACTCTGCCTGATGTCACAGGACATGCAGGCTTGAGAGGGATGTCGGTGGAGAAAGCAGCGGAGCTGGGATTAGAGGAAGTGCTACATCCAGTCCCACTGTGGCCAGTGACATCGCCGCTGAGAACATGTTGCCCGGACAGAGGCCCATTGACAGCTGAAATCCAGATCATGACACCTCCCATGGGTGGGGAGGGGGTGCTGTCCTAGGGAATTGCGGCTCTGCCCAGGGCTCTCCCAGTGGGCGCATGGAGACCCTCCAATGAGAGTGCGCCTGGACCCGCCGGGTCTGTGCCAATCACACCGCCCACCGTGCTGTTCGTGTGCGGTTGCCCAGCTGCCCAGCTGCCCCTGTCGAGCTTCCCCTCTCGGCCGGGGTGTCTCCGTGCTCAGCCTGACTGCGGAGCGAGTGGACCCCTGTTCCGGCAGGTCCCCCCCGGGTGGAGCAGGGCTGGGCACTGTGCCGCGGAGACCCGGCAGGTTCTCCCGGGGCATCGTGGAGCCTGAGGAATACTGGGTTCTGTGGTGCAGCCTTTTGCTCACATTGGCTCCAGGGCAGGCCCCACGCTAAGCCAGCGCTCTGCCTACCTCATCGCATCGAACCTGCACTAACCCATTTCACAGGGGAGAACCCGAGGCTCAGAGCGCGCACCTGGGCGAGGTCCTGCAGCTGCTGAGGGGCAGGGCCCGGCACTCAGCCGGGTCTGTCTCCCCGAGCCACCTCCCGACGTGGTTCGGGTCTTCAGAACGTTGCTCTGCTTGTCCCCCTCCTGGGGGTCACACGTGCAGCATAACCTCGCTCGCCCTCCGGAGCTCAGCTCCTCCGGGGCCTTGCAGCCCGCTGTGCCCTGCCCAGCTGCTGGACCACGGGCTGGGGAGCAGCAGGGGAGTGTGGACAGAGTGCGGTTTGAACTTGACTCTGCCACCTGCAGATGGGCTGATGGCCACCGGGCAGGGCTGGGAGGGACAGCGCACGTCACACTCAGGCTGCACCAGCGTCTCCTGGAGAGACCGACGTGGGGCCCGCCCAGCTCGCTGACAGGCACCGGCATGGTCAGTGAGTGTCCTGGGGCGCACACCACAGACGCCCGTCCTTCCCGCCAGGCTGGGCCCCGTCAGCCTCCGCAGATAGCGGCGCCATGTGACCCTGCCTGGTGGCTCTCTAAAAGGGGGGCTGTACACAGCACCCTGTTCCGTCGCGTTTCAGAGGTGTGTTTTTTACAAACGAAGGCGAGGCCCTCCACCAGCAGGGGGAGGAGGCCCACTCCCGCGACACTGGCTGTGCTGCGGGGTGACCAGACCGCGTATCTCCGAGGTCTGCCTGGGGCGTGTGGAAGCGGGGCGTTGGTGAGCCTGGAGAGGGGCCTCACTCGCGGCTGCGCGGGGACACGACGGGGAAGCAGGCCTCTCCTGGCCAGTGGGGGTGTGGTCGGGTCTGTCCGTTCCTCTCTTCACCTGTTGTGACCCTCGGAGGTGCCTCCCTTTCTGTGACAGATGGGGGGACGGAGGCGGCCTCTGTCCGGGCAGCACGTTCTCGGTTGCAATGTCACTGGCCACCATGGGACTGGATGTAGCACTTCCTCTAATCCCACCCCCTCTGCTTTCTCGATCGCTTCCCTCTCAAGCCTGCATGCCTGTCGCAGGTGTGACATGAAGGCAGAGAGGCATGCGACCTACCTGTGTGA